TTTTTTTTTTTTCTTTTTCTTTTTTTATCTTAAAGAAAATTCTACAAGATTCCTTGTGTAAATTATACAATCTTCTTCATTCCTCGAGTTGAAGGATAATTTGCGGCGAGTCGATTCAACGCTAAGCAAAAAGTGATCATTTACAATATTATTCGGATTTCGAGACAATATTTCGATTATTTTATACACTTTGTTTAGGTACAACGTGGCTAATATTTACGTTTATTTCTCTCGTTTCTTCCCCAGAAACGAATTCATCCAAAGAAAGCGAAAAAAGATTATCTTTAAAACAAAATAGTTATTGAGTATTCGAATATTCGAAACGAATTTCACTATTGAAAAATTGGTCCAGACAATCAAATTAATCGAGTACCATCTCGAAGATCTGGGGTTTAGATTAGATATTGTATCATCTATACGAGCGAAGCACAGATACCGATCTTTTTTCTAAACTTATTCCAAAGAATATCGCTTCGTGGATAAATTTCGAACAATCTCAACAGCGAGGTCGCTCATATATACTAACGCTCTATTGTACAAATTGGTCGAACGTTTGCCAATCGTCTACCATCGAGTGAAAATGCAACGAGTAAAATACAATTGACAAAGTTTTAACCTTCTCTCCGACTTTGATATTTTTTTCTAACTTCTTTTTTCAAACCATACCCTTGCGTTTCGCTTCACATTATCGAAAATATCCTCTCGACGATGGTGATCCTCGTGAGGATTCGCCATCGTTTCAAAAAAGAAAAATTTCACGGTGTGCGATTATCGAAACTTAATTTCCCTGTGGAACCAATTTCTTCGCGAATCACATTTGGAAAATCAACATTTTCGAAATCACTCGATTTCTGATAAAATTAATTAACAGCAATTTTGCGTCAACCGCATTTTAAGAAAATTCATTATCGTCGATAAGACAAAGATAAGAAATTTCAAATTCAAATTTTCAATTCCCATCAATTCCTTCCGAAACCTTCAAAATTTCAAATATTGGATATCTCTACCATTAATAAAGTAATCCATCCAAATGAAAAATTCGCGAAGAACCACCTACGATTACGAAAAAAGTTTCAAAGATCCCAGCTGGCTGTCCGTTTCATCATCGAGGTGATCATAGAACGAACAACGAGGTTCCCGCTGATTCATGGTTTGCCGATCCATCAGGAAACAGTCAGCCTGGTTTGTGCGCAATCACGTGCCCTCGGCGGAAGCACGGCAAAGACCGTGTCGTCGCCGTGGAGGCCCGTTTCCGGTGTTTTAGAACAGCACGCAACCGGAACCGTGCATCACCTCGGAAATGAACATCGGCGTGCCGGCGCCGAGCCCGCCATCAGTCTTCTGATTCTCGTTCTTGTCGTATTCGCAGTCGAAATAGCAGCTCTGTGGAAGAAACACGTATTTTTTTCATCGTGCTACGCGATCGAAACAATTTTTAAAGCAGCCGAAGATGTGTAATGGAAGAAATGAAAAATCTTTTTTTTATCGTTTCAAATAATTTAATTGAGACATAATGCATAAGAGAAACGATATTATTCTTAATCTTTGATAAAAAAAGAAAAGAAAAATTTCTCTTTCAAATTATTCTATTTCTAACAATCTTTGCATTTTTGTACGAGAAATGAGATGAGATGAGGGATCGATTATAATCTCTCACTTCTAACTTTTTGAGGGAACAGAGATGAGATTCAGATTTTTGAATCGAAGATATTTCTAAGAAAGTATATATATTTGAAAGGACGAAAGGGGAATTCTGAAGTGCAATGCATATCGTATTGAAAAAGAGCGGCAAAGTGTTTCGTGGAACGTTGAAAAGATGAAAGTATTCAATATTGCAGCGGTGCAAGGTGCACGCTTACCTGACAGTCCAAGCATCTGCAGTGGTCGCTCATCTTGCAAGTGATGCCCCACTGTTTCGCCACCGCTCTGTACAACTCTTTGCTCGACTTGTGAAGGATCTTGGGAGCTTTTGTTCTATTATCTTCGCCAGACGCGTCATTCCCGGGGTTGTTTCCACCCTCGTACCTCTGCACCTCGGCTGCATGCTCCAACCGTGTCTAAAATTACATCAAAGTATAAATGGAGAATTTCGATAAAACCATCTCTCTCTCTCTCTCTCTCTATCGTTCTTTCAAGCTTAAATAATCACGCACTACGCCTGAATCGATAGACGAACAATTTTACTTTCTCAAACGAAATCTTTTTAATTTACTCGTCAAAATTTCTATCGAAAATATTATTTGAAAGATTATTAGAAAATTATAATAGCTATATCTAGAAGTATTCAAGAATTTTCAAAGTATTTTACTTTCGCAAATTCATCCTCTCAAACATCTTTTCAATTTGCTCGTCAAAATTCCTATCGAAAACATCACTTGAAAAAATTATTAGAAGATTGTATTAGATATCCATCGAGAAATATTCAAGAATTTTCTCTTCACAATCTCAAACAAAAACCTTTGTCCTTCTCTACTACAACTACTGATAAAAAAATCAAGAACGTGTGTTCTCTCTCTTTCTCCAAAGGATTACGATCGAACAGAGTTGAACGTGGCCTCTGTTTCATCCGATCGATCCATATCTTCACCTGTTCGATAACGTGCTCGTAAGAAGGAGGAGGTGAGCTCGGTATCGCTTGTTCGTTCCTCACCATCACGCTGTTGGAAGCTAATATCGGTGAGTTTATATTGGATTGAGTTTCCCCGCTCAACTGCAGTTGACTCATTGGCAGTTGAACGTTTTGCCCCCTCGCGTTCTCCTCCTCGTCCTCGGGAATCTCCTCCTCCTCCTCCTCCTCCTCCTCCTCCTCTGTCTCGCTCTCTCTCCCTGTCTCCTTCCCGTGTTGCTTCTCCCTCTCCATTTTACCCTCCAACTCCTTTTCCTTGTCCTTTTCGCGCTCCTCCTTGTCGCTGCTGCGCGACTTTGACATTTTTGAGAAGGGGAACTTGAACGGCGCCAGTTTGACTGCTTCCTCTTTCTCTACTCTTTCTCCCTCTGAAACGGGAAAGGATTGTTGTAAGTAAGAGAATTGCTCGTATTATCGCTGCTTAAACTCGAGCATCAATCGGTGGCACGAGGACAGCGATGGAAAATATTCGTGTATGTGTGTATGTGTGTGTGTATATGTGCACGTGGAAGAATCGTGGACAAACTGGGTCGTTGATTGTCCGAGCGAAATTTCATTTTCCTCTTTTTTTTCTTTTCCTATTATTTCAGATTTTTAACAACAGAGACATTGGCTCCTGAGATACTCTAAATACTCAAAGTTTAATCTTTAAGTAATTTTTCTAACCTTGATCCAAATTTAAATAACATCGTTAAATAACACGTCGTCTCAAGTGAAACTAGAGACTCGAAGCACTGATGTCGATCTAATTTCCCTTGAATAATGAAATACACGAGATGAAAAATTATTATTATTATTATTTCTTCCAATTCTCGCGTAAGAGAATGGATTTCACGATGAATGTGTCGAAGAATCGGAACTTTCGGAGTCGATACTTCCTAACACGTGTCATCTCTCTCTCTCTCTCTCCAATAACTAAACCGAGCTTCCACTCTTCTCCCGACCATCAAAAAAAAAAAAAAAAAAAAAAAAAAAAAAAGAAAAGAAAAAAACCAAAACTCGCGCTTCTTCCATCATCTCCACTCACTTCCTTTCTTATCTCACGAAAAAAAAAACCTCGAGTGATTCTCATTCACGCGACACGGATTCATCGAGCACGAGCCAGTTGGTACAGAATAGCGTAGAGGAAGGCAAAAAAAAAAAAAAAAAAAAAGAAAAAAAAGAAAGAAAAAAACGATGGAGAGAGAGGGAGAGAGAAAAAAAGAGAGAAAGGAAAAAAACACGGAAAACATAGGAAAAACAAGCGGAAGGGGAGGAGGGGTTGGGGGTGTGTCTCCGTGCGAGTGCACCAGCTGCATCTGTCGTTGACCCAGTGGCCGAGTTTCCCGTTTATCGGTCGACCTGGCGCAGTTGCGGCTGACTTTAAAGCCGTCGACTTCTCCGGAGATTTAAGCTCCGCCCGAACCACCGACCATACACACAACCTCTTCCACGAGATATTCCACGATTTCTGGCCGGGAATTAGCGGTAACAAGGATAATCCAATGGATAGAGATCGATATCGGATAGAGAATCGAGCTTGGGTAACTCTCTTCGATGAAATGTTTTTTTTAAAATTAAAAGAAGAAGAAGAAGTTGAATTAATCGTATTTTTCTAAGATAGATGGAACTTGGAGCTTTTATTTATAAAGTTTACTTATTGAAATACACTTTTACGTTATTTATTAACGATTTGTCCGAATAATTGATAACCATTCGATTTAACTAAAGTCCTAAAAAATTATCTCAGAAATATTCAAATGATCGATACGAATGCTGGTTAAATTTATCCTATCTCACGGGATTTCTCTGCATCTTGATTGTTTCTGGCACCGGGCTTTATCGGTTCGATACACTTTGAACACCGTGATGGAACGTGAAGTCGTAAATTGGTAAAGTAGAGTTTGGAAGAACCGAGAGAGGGTGATTAACGGAAAGTCCCTTTTGGAAAATATTGAACGAAGAGATTTGAATAGGTTGAAAGATGAAAATGACGACGAGTTGTGGAATTCGGTGGGAATGTTTATCGCGGTCGAGTCGCGAATATTCCGTGAATGGAGCGAACGTTTGAGGTTAGGATGTGAAAGAAGATCGCGTGAAACGCCTGCAAACTTCCGGATGATTAATTAGCGGTCTTTCACGGGATTTTATTAAAGTTAGTTGAAGTAAAGTTGAAGTCTTTTGCGAATATTGAAATTCAGGATTAACGATCCCCTCTTCAAGATTAAATATAACTGAATGTTTAATGACATTCGAGGTAGAAATTATATAAAGAAGAAGAAGAAAGAAGAAAGAAAAATCCTTTAATTCTCAACTGTTAAGAATTGTTTCACAAATGTACACCGATGATCAACGTGAAAAATATTCCGATACAAAACTTAATCAACGCCCACACCCTGGAAATAAATATTCCAGGAAGACGAGGCGAGGACCCTTCCAATTTCCTCCTTTCCTTCGAACGCACGAAACGATCGTTCCGCGTTATAAAGCTCGAACTACTCTGTTCCCAGATGTATTTTATGGAAATGAAAATTCTTCTCCGTCCAAGCTGTCGACGGAGAGGTGTGCGACGGTGCGGATACACTTTACACCGGAAGCGTCGCTCAACTCGGGGAAACGAGCGTGGCAGCTTTAATTCGACGTGTCGCTCGAAACTCTCGGTTGGAACTCACGTTAAAAATGTACGTACCCTGAAATCTCGTCACAATGCGATCTCGCGTTTATATTTTTCAACGCGAATCGCGGAAGCTCTTTATTGTTGCTCCTCGATTGGACCACCAATTAGAAAAATAGAATTGCCCGAATAATTCCTGTCTCCGTGATTCTCAATATTCGAAGTACTATTTTTGCCATTTTCTCCTTTTTTTAAATTAACTTCTCTCTCTCTTTTTTAAGAAGAACACAAGAACAAGTTGTTCTTTCGTTAGAGTTGTTAGAGATAATTAAACGGAAGATGAAAGAAAAAGTGGCAATTTTTATTCGAAGACACTGATAAAAAAATAATCTTGAGAGAAATCTTCGTATGGAATTTTTACAATAATAAATATTGCCTTTCATTTTTCATTAGATCGATGTAAAGTAAGTATACGTATCACGAAATACGATTAATTCGTGGATAAATAAAACTGATCAATTCGGTTTTAAGCGAAGAAACGGAGGGGAGGGTGAGATTGGATTCACAGTCGGATAAATATCGTGGAACAACAAGTAGATTCGACTGCTTGTGTTCAGACAAGCGTAAGGTTGTCGGGTATGGGCAAATGGATAAGAAGGAAGTCACGCGTCGTCGGATAAATAGAACGTGACCGTTTCGTGTGCGGACATGCAGACACCGAAATCTCGTGCAATCTGGCACAAGAGTGATGTTCGTTGTGTTAACGTTTCCAATTTCAAATGGCAATTGCAAAAACGCGAAATTCACGCGCAATGCGTTTATCAGTGGTACGAGCCTGTATACGATCCGACTAGTTTCGAAAACATCTTTAAATATCACTCGTATAAAATATAAATATATATTTTTAGAAAATTTTTCAGAAAAATAAGAATAATATCGTTGACGATGAAATCATGAAATATTTTATTTCAGGAGGGACGGGAGAGACAAAATTCTCAAATTAAAATTTCTTTCATCTCTACATCTCCACTTTGTTCAAGAATCCACGAGGCAAGCAATCAGCAGCGAGCAATCGTACACGTTTAATCCCGCGACAGAATAGTCGGAAAGTTTACAATCTGAGGAAGTTTCATCGCGCTTGAATTGGAGCAAGGACGGCCGCACGAACATCTCTGTGTCTTTGAAGTAGAGGGGGGAACGGAAAAAAGAGAAGAGAGAAAGAGAAAGAGAGAGAGAGAGAGAGAGAGAGAGAGACTCGCGGCAATTGTATCGCGGATATTGTGTCACACTTCACGCGCGATACCACCGCGGCTTTCATTTCACTTCCGGTCCCCCGGAATCAGAATTTCAACTTCCTCGTTTCACTGGAATCGTTGCCTCCAGCGTGGGAGGAGGGAAATTTCCATTCCATGGAAAATACGAAAAAAGAAGAAACGTAAAATCTCTAACGTTTGATACACGTTGATATTCTTTACGATGACCACGAGCATTTATTCCCATGGAAAATAATGTGCGAGAAGACGATGTCCATCCTTATATCGCGATCCTCAACCAAATCCAAAAAAAAAAAAAAACCAATAAACGTCTTCAATCAACCTTGTCGCACATTCAACCCCATCCAACGAGACAATTTGGCTAATTTGTCTTCCTCGAGTCGGCCCTTTTCTCCTTCGAAGGAAACAACGATTCTTTCGCAGGATCGCTGCTCCTTTCGGATACAGGTCGTCGAAAATAAGACGAGCACTCGACGAGTCGAGGGAAACGAACGAACGAACGAACGAACGAACGAAGCTTGGCAAAGTAGGTTGCGCCGGGTGAGGGGGAGGGGAAGTGTACGGCCATTGAATCCGCTGGATTCCCATCCCTCTCTCCCTCCCTCCTCCCCCCTCGATAGAAGTGGACGGTCTCATGTCAGTGGCCCGAGCTAGTGCACCGTCATCCTGGGCTCGCACCTTTCGTCCTAGTTTCTCCGTTCTTACCCCTCCTGCCACCCTTTCGTTCCGCTTCATCCCTTCCATCCTCTGTCTCTTCTCCACTTTCTTTCCTTGTCCATATCCTTGTGGATAGAATCTCCTCGCACGGTCCCTCTCTTCCTCTTCCTCCCCTGTGTATATATATATATACTTTTGTCCAACCTCAACGGATCTAAACTACTACGTGTCCGATTAACCTTGCTACCGAGTTTCACGGAGATGGCGATTACCCTCTTATCCTCGTTGAACCTTTTTTTCGAAACGGGGAGGGAGGGGAGATTGATGCTCGTCGATGAGTTTCGAGGTGGAAAATGGAAATTTCGATCAGTTTGCAACGCTCGAGGATTCGCGTTTATAGATTTTTTTTCTTCAAATTCGCGATTTTTTTGTTTTCGGGAAAGGTTATATTTACGATTCGAAAATTTTCATTCTCTCGAATCGAATTGTTTTCGAAAGGAAACGGAATTTATGGAGATGGAGTTTGTACAGTTTGTACTGTTGTCGAGCCTTTTAATATCTTTTCTTTTCGTTCTTTCTTTCTTTCTTTCTCTCTCTCGTTTTATTCGACACCTCTCCACACTTCGTTTTATTCTCCACCCCCGAGGAAGTTTCAGAAAAGCCAGGCCAAGAGCAGGGACATTGTCTCGGGGATGACAAACACCCAACGGTGTTTCGGTGTCCTTTCACGCGAGAAGTTTGTGGGCGGCCGCCATTTTGGGCGGTGTCTTTTCAACCAAGTTTGGAGAACGACGCGGTCGCGTCTGCTAGGACGGCTAAATCTCCTCTCTCTTC